ATTAAAATACATCTTCAATTTCATCTTGCATGCTACACAAATCCCTTTGTACTTCCTAATAAATTTACTACAAGGTCTTTTACTTCACGTAAGATAATCTCTTCTCTACATGCCTCAACACAAAAGTACTTAAACATTTTTGAAGCATAGGCTAAGAAACAAAATAGATTATTACATGATATATTTTACATTATTTTCCTTGATATATTTTCCTATTCAGCAGCCGTAACTCAATGAATAGCAATTTCAAGTAACAGAACTGCACTGCAAGAAGAATTTCTTGACAAAATTCTACGAGTGATAGGTACTTGTAGCCTGCATGCCTAAGTAAGGGAGATTTTTAAGATTGCACAGTCTGTCTGTCTGCCCATCCCTCCCCTGCTTCCATTTTTTGCAGTATTTTGGTCCATTTCCCATATATTGCAAAGAGGGACGGAAATCACCACTGACTTCTCTTCATCTCTCATGAGAGCATGGAGAACATGAAAGAAAGGGTTTCCTTTCTAATGTTCACCCTCTCTGCCCTCAAAAGCTTACTGGAGGACATGGGCAAACTACAAATGAAAAATCAACCGCAGCAGTGAACCAAAAGCAGAAAAATTGCATTGCCATTGAACACATGCCACTTTAAACACCGTGATAGAAAAGATATTCAGGTGGATGGGGAGGCGTTATTAAATACTGACAGTATTTTAGTAGAAGCATTTATGGAAATGTACTTAAAAAGAAATTCAAGAATTTTCAAATACTGCTTACGCCACGACAAAGGTCAAACTACACATTAAAGGTTTTGTGGAAAAGGCATGCCTTGTCTGAAGTTACTTATGAATTAATGTAGTTCAGATATGAGACAGGATTTTAGATTTATGGTTCCAAAGTTTGTCAGAGCTTAGCCCTCCGCCCCCCTAAAAAATCTTGTTTAAGCTTCAGGCCTGCTGACACAAAGGTGGAAATCACTTTGAAATACTTTTTCTAAGACTCTAGTGTGAAAAGAATTAAGTCAGATTTCCAGAGCTTGAGCTTCAGATCAGCATAGCCTCAATATTATAATTCTATGCTTTATGACTATAGGCAAAAATAAAATTAAATAATATAGGTCAGATACAGAGGGTGAGGTCCTGCCCCCACTGAAGTCAGTGAGACTCTGGCAACATCTAAATTTATAACTAAAATTGTCAGGGCCTGTTTTCTATCCCTGAGGCCATCTGGCAGGGTCTGGCCACATCCCCTCTATTCAACTCCCTGGTGTATTAAACAGGGCAGCACAACCAGGCCACGTACTGGGAACAGACCTGAGCTGACTCTAGCTTATGACTGCGCACAGGAGTTTTTCTGCAGATTTTAACCACTGTAGAGCAAAGAACGACAGAAACTCTTTTGACAAATCAACAGTACACTTCAATTCTAGTACCCAAGCCCTGCCGGGCCAGTCCTTAATCTACATGTCACTGATGGCCACTGCTCTGATTTACATCAATGGCACTACCCATTTGCTCAAAATCATGTTTGCAAATGAGATTATTTTTAGCCTTTTAACCAAATTTAAATTAAAGACATAATCTGGACGTACAGAAATTATCCTGGTTTTTTCTGTGTTTCTAGTCAGGAGTGGCTATCTTGATTTTGTGATGATGCCCAATTTTCTGACTCTGTGTTTTTATGCTTCTTTCCTCAGCCTGCTGTCCGTGGCTCTGCTGTAGCAAATGCCTCTCTCCCCCTACCCCTTGTTCAATTCTGGTACCACTTTTTCCTCCTAGAAAAAATAAAGGCAAATTATACACAAATTAATAATGAGGTACTAAGACTACAGCTTAATATATCACAAGTATGTAACAATGCATATTAAATTTTGTTTTCTGTTTTGATTAGTAATTAAATATTTGACATTCCAGCTGTCCAGTCATAAAGCAAGCATCTGTCCTCTGCCTCAACGTGAGATTCCTGAGGAGCGATTGTGGAAGTTACCCACCCACCAGCAGATCTATTTACCATTTGTGAATCCTATTATTTTGAGGTCTTTAGTGACATGGAAAGCAGTGCAAATACTCAACACCTTTGACTGGGAAAAATATGTGCATGCTGTATGACACACACTCTGAAGCAATGGTAAAATGATGCTTTACTAATGATAAAATAATGCTTCACTGACAATAACAAAATGTAACAAATGAACATAGGCAATAAAAGAAATTGGAAATGCAACATTTTCACATATGAGGTATATGTTACCGTGTTGAGGGTGCTATGGAAGTCCTGTACAACCTATCTAACAGCTGCATAACTAGCAGTCTGTTAGCTTTTCCCAGGCTCTGGCAACTTCCTCAGAAGACTGGCCTTTAGACCCTGCCTTGAGATTGCTGCAGAATGTGAAAGGAAGGAAAAAGCAAGTGAGCTAACAAGGATCTTCAGGCTTTTGATTAAAAATACGTTTGGAGAATTATTTCTAAAATACAACTCTAAAATCCAGAGGGTGAATTTCTACAGAATTTTTCTCTAATCTTCCTTGAGATTGATTTGGACATATCAGAAGAAAATTACTGTCTTGCAAAAATGGTAGAGAATATAGCTCTCCAAAAGACCAAAACAATTCAGAAATTCCATGAAACAAATAACAGAAATACTTCATATCAGTATGAGTAACTTCTTATAAAAATTCAGAAGGCAGCTAATGAAAATGTGCAACATCCAGCTGCTCACACACTAAAAAAAATATATATAATAATGCTCATTTTCAGTTGTAGAACTTTTTGGTAGAAATGAAAGATTATTTAAGAAACTTAGCTTAATTTCTTTTAAGTTTTTATTTACAGTATTTGGGGAGATACACTGTGTTTTAAGTCTAGAAATCTGACTGTAGTATCAGTTCAGTACTATCTGGTACAGTTTTCTGCTCTCCCATATTATCGTTGAACTTTGTATATGAGAATACAGCAGAAAAACAAAATTGAAGGAATTCCATCATTCTTCATCATACATACACTCTGTCATTTATAATTGTTCATGCTACTAACCGAGAACTGATTGTAAGAAAGCTGTTCTAATTTTAATGTTGTAATTTCTGAATGTTGAAATCTCAGTAAGTACAAAGAGCTGAAAATGAAATGGAAAACTGAAAATTAAGTGAAACATTGTGAATAAAAGCATGGTTGAGAAAGACAATTTTTTGATTGGTATTTCTGGAAAAAATGTAATATAAAATTGAGATGATATTTTTTAAAAAATATCATAATGGCTACAAATATTTATTTACAATTAATAAAAATATTTCTTACCTTTGCTAAATATTGTTTTAACAGGAGTTAGCACTCCTACTATGCCTCCTGGCAAACAACACTAGAACCATAAACAACACTGGAGTTGCAAACACAGTCCCTACTGTTAAAATGAATTTCTCTATGGATAATACTTCCCAACAGGTAATCCCTACGGTAGGATCACATCACCTACTTCAGGCACTTTATTTGTGCCTAAGCTTTAGGTGGACACATAGGCATCCATTTAAATGAAGTGCCTGAGGGCCCACGGCAGTCTGCCAGACAACTAACTGCCTTAAGACCTCAGAAGGGAAACTTCTCTGACTAAATTTAAGCACTGAAATCACACTCCTCACCTGAGAGCTTTTAAAGGCACCTACCTCTTTTCCTTAGGATACAGTAACTTCAGGCTTTTACTTTAGCAGCACCCTTCACTAGACTCCTAAAATTTAGGGATGACTTTGATGAATTTGCTCCATATCCATTGTACTTTTCAGGATATTATTCTTGCTTGATTTTTTGATTGCTTTATTTTCTTGGGAAAAAAGAATATTGCCTGATGCTGCCTCCAAACTGCACTTAAGAACAACTGAGACCTCTATCACAGAAACCTGAAATATTTGGTATTACTTACAGGGGATATGCCCTAAGATTAAAATGTCTTCCTTTTATATAATATTTCAATAGCAGGAACTATTATCTGTGCATATAAGAAGATGATTTCAGAAGGAAGGTTAGGAATATGTTAAAAGTAGAACCATATTATTTCCTTAGCAAGGACAAAGCCCACACTGGTTGTGTATAAGTCAAGGTCAGAGCTGTAGGAAAAAAAGGTACCTAGCCCAGAAAAATCTTTATGTTGTGTTATGTTCACCCTATACTGTGAGCATTGTCCTCCAAACAAAACAGTTATCAAAGAAGCTGTTCTTAGCCATACAGAGCATCACATCAAAGGGCAGCATCAAGGCAAACTATGAATGAAAAAATGAATGATTCATGGAAGCTTTATTAATAGATAAGAAAACCCTATGGCAAGTTTTTTAAAACTGAGTGCCTATAGTTAGGCTTCTTAGCAGAATCTAAAGCTCTTCAGTCGATGTACCATGATATTCAAATACATACTTAATATTACCCTGTGCGTACACTGGGGCTACTTAATATGCTTAGAGTCAAGTGTGTGCTTAAGTCTTTGCCTCAGGCTGAAATACAGTACTTGGTGTTTTGCCAGAGCTAAACTCACAGGCCTCGAAAGAACTGGACTGTGTAACAATAATTTTTCAAACATATAGAAGCAAGATGAACATTCAGTTCCTATGGCAGTTGTCTTCAATGATTAGTTCTTTTCTACAGTGAAGGCTGTGGAAATTGTCTGTGTGCCCAGCACTTTGCAAAACAGATTTAGAGGCCAAATTTTGGACATGCACTTTTCAAATGTTATTCCACGTTTCTGTCTAATAAGGAGGAGCATGTATGACCATTAGAGCAGAAATCAAAATGACACCACAAATATTATTGAAAGAATATTCACTTAGAATTTTAGATTAATGCTGAAGATGACAAACTGATTCAGTTTGAGTTCATATTTGTTAACTCATAGATTCAAAATGTTTAACGGATTGTGAGAACTCTTAACAGATAACACAACTATAGACTTATAAAATCACAAAGCTGCAATATTGTGCATGAAATTACTACTTTCTTTAAGAAAATAATTTATTTTCCATTGTCACAACATATAATCTGGTATCAGTTACTGTACATATATTTTCTTGCAATACTCTGACTGTCTATGAATACTGGATCCACAGATGCCACTTTTGCTGCTATAAAGGAGTGAATACAGTGTAAAACTGCCGTCAGATCCTGAAATTCGAGTTCCTGAAAGAGGAAGGAAGAGAAAAAAAAAAAAGAAGAAAAAACGTGAATTCATATTCAGGTTTATAAACATTTTACACAAACACAGAACAGACTAGTGCGCAAAACACAATCGACTTTAAATGAAAATTTGAATCTTTATAGGGAACTGTGAAGTAAAATGTTAAGAATAAGAGATGCATATCCACACCTCGTTCACTGGCAGTGATTTATTGTTACATTTTACTCAGCTTGAACAATGAAAGCATTCAACTTGCAAGACCATTCAAATATCACAACATATTTTAAAGTATTCGATAAGTTAAGGACGTCTGAGGATGATGCGGTGTCAGGTCACAGCCAGGGAGGGTGAGGAGGACACACACTTTGGCAGCCGCTGAAGGAGAGTCAGATAAGCAAGCTGGGAGGCCAGAGGCAGGGTGGAGGCTAAGGTAAAGTCACACCACAGCCTGCCTATAGAAAAATATGGCTGGGTATGACGTTCATATGCCCTAATTCACAAGGAAAAGCAAAGTTACTCCCAACCAGTTCTCAGATTCTCTTGACTTTTTATAACATATTTCATCTTCTGTGCACAAGTTAAATTTCTGTTTCCCAGTCTCCTCAGACAGAAATGGGGTGATATTCTGACACAATGACAACAAATATAATACAAGGAACATGTTCTGTTTGCATGATACTACTATTTGTAAAATCTGAAACTGGTAAATACATCGTGGGGACAGTTGGGACAGTTTCTGGTTTGGGGAGAAGACATTCGTTTTCAACAACGTGCTGGCTACACAGGAGTTTATCGAGGCACGCCCTGTACGCTTGCCGTTAAGCCAAAAGCAAAGCACTAGAATTCTGCTTTTCCTATGATAGTATTTTATGGTATCTTCTCAACAAAATTGCCTCAAATGGAATACTTGGAATTCAAGGCTACTGTTCCAGAAAAGTTCACCATCACACCATTTTGCTGTAAAGGCTGTGTATTTATTTAACAGGCAGTAGTAGTTTTACTACTAATGAATGTCATAGATTGCTCACTAGTATTTGTGGGGCATGCTTTTGTGACTCTACATTGGGGATAACTGGGAAATTTTTGGTAGTGTGGGGAGATACAGGGGGTCTCTGTGAGGAGAGGAGTGGCGGGGGGGCCCCGGGCCGGACACAGCCGGTTCCAGCGGGGCACGGCTGAGCCCCGCAGCTGGGGTGGGTGGGCCTCAGGGGAAAATATTTAAGAAAGGGCAGTAAATTCAAAAAAAAGGCAACAAGGCAACCGATGGAGAAGTCACACTGGAGCAAAGAAAATGAGTAAGAAGCAAAAAACTGCAAAGGAAAAGAGAAACTGGCAGAAAGAAACCATTACACCCTGAAAATACATACTTCATGATGACGAAATTCTACTGATTTTCTAAAGAAATTGTGCACAGTTTCTTTATAACCTCAGGCACATATAGTTTATTGTCTTGGGGATTTTATTTCCCAGTAACCAAATTTATTATGCCCAGAAAAATGTAATTTTCTGTTACCGTCTACTCTCTCCAGCGTAAGGTGACAATAAGCAATATTACTGGACAATAAGAGTAATAGAATGATATTCAACAGGCTCCCAAGATATGCTCTTCCCATGGTGTAATCAGCCTTACAAATGCCTTTACCCCCTATGAAACATCTGCAAAAATTACAGGGAAAGACCTTTTCAGACACAGTAGCTTTGAAACAGAGAAAGTCTGACAGTGCTTGCTCAGTGCACACAGAAGCCTAAGAGAATGATGCTTTCAGCCCCTAGGTCCTGCAAAGTATATGTAAGTAGAGATTTTTAGATGCAGACAATAATTTGTCTTGGTTGGGTCATTTGTCAGACAAACAAATTTCAACTCCTTCTAGAACCTGGAAACACATGAATGTCTCAATTAAACAGCTTTGAGAATGTGTTAACATAGATGAAATGACTCTCCCCTCCCTTCAAAAATTATTCTCTGAAATTACTGACTGGTTTGCCTACAACTTTCCAAGAAAAAATATCTGAATTCAGAAACAATGCATTGCCATTTTTGATGCCAGTTGAAGTAATAAGCAATTTAAACCAGATTATTATAATTTGGTATTTAATACAAATTACAAGCTGACACTTCCAAGATTATAAAAGAACAGCAAACATAAAACACTCCTCACTAAAAAATAGGGACATAAACCAATACAACTGATAAGCAGAATGTGCTATTATCATTCATACCTAGTTAAATAAGGAGAAAATAAGGTAGCATTGAGGGAAGAGGCAAAACTCTCTCATACTTCTGCTTTTGCACACTTACTAGTCAACAAATTAAGAAATAATTATCCTAAAAAAAGAAAAATCTCTTGAGAACGTATATCAACCTAAGCACTTAGGTAACTGTTAATAACTGGCATTTGGTTGCTGAAGTAATCATTTTGGCCTCATACTCAAAATTAGATCTTGTTGTGAAAGAAAAATGAAGCGTGAATGTTGGTTAAAATCCTTTGAGGATTTCAAGCCCATGTAATTTTTTTTCTGATTTTTTGGGGCATAAAAAACTTGCTTTTTCTATTTTGATTGATAGTTATGGAGAAAGTATGGGAATAAGTTTCTTAAAATATATTTTCTTGACAATAGATGTCAACTGTAAATATTAATATAAAATTAATATAAACACTTCCAGAAAAAAAAAATAGTGCCATTATTTAACTCTCATTGTTTAAGTTTTATAAAACTAAAATGAAGTACATGCTCATGATTATTAATGAAATCCAATGCGATATGGAATAATACAGGCCTCAGTATACCAGTTCTTGGCTTAGGTAAAAGGTTTACATCTCCTGAATTACCATGTCTAAATACAATAAATTCTAGAATATAAAACCACTCACACTAATCTTAGATTTGCTCCAAAATCAACTGAAATCATCCAGTAATTTCATGTCAGATTCTGACATTCAACACATCGACTAAATGCAGTCAAACAAACTGAGAACAGAGCCCTTCACAAAGCTTTCCATTTCTCTACTCTGGCTTTATGCACTTCTAATCTATAAATGTTTATCAAGCTATGCAGTCAGAGGTATCACAGAATCACAGAATCACAGAATCACAGAATGGTAGGGGTTGGAAGGGACCTCTGTGGGGCATCTAGTACAACCCCCCTGCCGAAGCTCACAGAATCACAGAATGGTAGGGGTTGGAAGGGACCTCTGTGGGTCATCTAGTCCAACCCCCCTGCCGAAGCAGGGTCACCTACAGCAGGCTGCACAGGACATCATCCAGGCAGGTCTTGAATGTCTCCAGAGAAGGAGACTCCACAAACTCCCTGGGCAGCCTGTTCCAGTGCTCCGTCACCCTCAGAGGGAAGAAGTTCTTCCTCCTGTTCAGACGGAACTTCCTGTGCTTTGGTTTGTGCCCATTGACCCTTGTCCTGTCGCTGGGCACCACTGAAAAGAGTTTGGCCCCATCCTCCTGACACCCACCCTTGAGATATTTATAAGCATTTATAAGGTCCCCTCTCAGCCTTCTCCAGACAAAACAAGCCCAGGTCCCTCAGCCTTTCCTCATAGGACAGAGGCTCCAGTCCCCTCATCATCCTCGTAGCCCTCCGCTGGACTCTGTCCAGCAGCTCCTCATCTTTCTTGAACTGGGGAGCCCAGAACTGGACAGAGTACTCCAGATGAGGCCTCACTAGGGCAGAGTAGAGGGGAAGGAGAACCTCCCTCGACCTACTGGCCTAACCTAACATGGATTGTAGGCAGGATTTCAGACTGCTCTAACATTATGCAAAGAGTTTTGGGATAAGAAAGGAGCGAAACCAGGAATGTCTCATCACTGGAGTCAGCCCTTCCCAAAGCCCCTACTGCAGAGTCCTCTTTGTTTCTATCAGAGTTCACAGTATGGATCAAACTGCAGTAATCCCTCTTGTGCGTCTGAAAGAAGTTGCCTAATTTCTTGTGAATAACCTTTTGAATACTAATAATATGCTTTTACTTCTGTAGAAGATAATCTACATACAGTTGAAAAAGTAACAGTATTGCTAGACCTATATTTTATGTCAATACAACACTATTTTCTCCAGTTAATACTGCAGGTGCCTCGGTCAGGGGAATTATATTCAAGAGTGGTGCTAGTTTTGAAAGTTGTTATAGAGCTGGGTAGCCAAATAAGTCGAATGTAAGCACCTCTCCTGCAGTTTATCAGCTGGTTCGCTTCTCTCGTGTTCTCTCATGTCTTCATTTTTTTATTTTAGGTTACCCATGGTGGTGAGTGATCATGTGGGACCATAAAAGAGGAGCAGAGCTCTGGAGGTGTCCTCTTGCAGGGCTCGATTAGATGTGGTCAGCTATGATGGTATTGGAGAGGTACGGTTCACCTGAGGCCTCATGCACTAGAAGCTTCCAGAAATGCAGTTTATCACAGTAGTACTGACCCAGGAGACCACAAATGGGGGTAACGCTGTGGTGCTTTGTGTTCAAAGGGTGTTTGATGTCTGTGCTGGCTGTCTTCACAATCCTGAAGCTGGCTAGCCAGGCGCAGATGTTGAGGAATAGTCATGTATCTCCAAAGCAGGAGTTGGGGTTCAGATTTGTGCACGCTCAGGACAGAGTTTGCTCAGATGAAGTGGTGTTCTGGCAGTGGATATAGCTTGCATGCAGATTGCAACAGAATTGCAACAGGGAAAGAGGAAGAGGACTTGGGGTTAGTTTGGAGACATGGATTTGGTAAAAGATAGGATGGCCTTCTGGCTTGGGAAAATATAGATGTTGCATAGTCAGAGGACAAGGGCACAATACGTCTCTTGGCAAGAGACTATCTTGAATATGGTTTAAAGGGTAGAAGTTTGGACTCTTCAGGTTTAGAACACAGTATTAATTTTTTCCTAGAAAATAACACCAAAGACTCTTCTTTCAAACCAATGCATTGCTCTGATAATTTTTTTTTTAAGTAACATTTCTCTCCATACCCAGCCAGGCAGATAACTGAGTAACTGATCATTTTATTTGCTCTATAGCAT